AAGATTAATTAAAAAGTTGTATGCATTCATTTGTTTCCACTATTTTTCATAATATTAAATATGACAATATTAGATCTTAAAACACAGAATTCAGAAAAATGAAAACAGATGTGTGTGTTCATGGAGGGTTGATGTGGATCAGTGTGTGGAGTGTAGGGATGCAGCGATTACCGGATTGCACAATTAACCGCACTTTAAAACGTCACGGTTAATTAATCGTAAAGACTATGCTACACCGAGTGTTCTGCAAAAGTTCCTTTCCGTGCAGATTCTGCACGGAAAGGAACTTTTGCAACTAACACAAAACGAAAATACAGCGTGCACCAGCTTAAAGTGCCGTGCTCATCACCCATATGGCAGAGGGACTAGCAGCGACGCTCTATTTCCACCGAAAAAACGCGTTAAGGGCCTGTTCATATAGCTATCACGTCTTTTGCGCGGTCAAGTTCGTTATTTCAAATGTAGGCGCGCAGAATGCACGCTCATAATGGAAGCGACGCGCTCGTTTTTTCCAAGCGCGTCCGCGCCGCATCGAGATAAAAACATCTCAACTGTTCTCAATGTTTTGGTAACGTAAGTGTGGAAAACAGAATGTGACGTGCTCTCAAGAGTTTCAGTCAGTGAACATTTAACTTAATATCCTATTGCTTTCTCCTGTCTGTGTTGAGTAAATGTTAGGCTTTGTAGTTGTAATATGCCCGGTGTAAAACACTAACATAAGATCAGGGCCGTGTAGACTTCTAGGACTACCAATTAACTGCATTTCAGTTATTAATAACACGAGAGATGTTCTCAGTTTATTTCTATATTTTTTACTTAAACTTCAAACAAACAAGCCAAAATAATGAGATTATAATAGATGATTTTCTAAAGGCACATGCAAAATTTGGATTAATAATTTAAAAAGAGTATTAAAATAAGTACAATAATATTGGAGTAGATAACATTTGGACTACATTTGTTTTCTTTAAAAAGAAATGCATAGTTAATATTTAGCTTACATTTAATTCAATAGAGCCAAATACTTTGTTTATTCTTATTTTCATTTGGGATTTTTATCCCTTTATAGTATTATTTATGTTTTTAAGTCAAATAGCAACAAGATATTGTTTTCAAGTTTTCTACCTCAGGTTGAAAATAAATTTAGAACAAACTAAACACTTAATAATTTTGTGATCTATTTCAATCAAAGAGCCCGGCCTTGACTTAATTTGTTATTTTTAAAAGAAAAATACTGGATGTTTACAAAGCACTTCTCTTTAATTCCAAAGGAAGAGATTGATTATTGTTTGTTATTTTATAATTTTGTACTGTGTTGTGGCAGCAATAAATAACACATTAAAATCTAGTGTTGAGTGTTCATGTGATATTATACATTAGTAGTGTTGTGAAATTAATTGATGCATAATAATCGTGATAATCGTTAAATCGTGATTATTTCTCAGACAATAATCGTACTTACAAAATCTGTAATCGTTGCATCCCTAGTGGAGTGATGATTCGCAGTGATCACACGCCGAAGGAGAATTACACAAAACTTTTATTAACAATTAAACTAATAGCAGTGATGGCAGAGTAACAGGAGAACACAACCACTCCTCATAACTGAGACTGAACCGAGAGCTGAGGAAACTAGGGCTGTACACACACAGGTACGCTGTACACACACAGGTACGCTGTACACACACAGGTACGGCTGTACACACACAGGTACGCTGTACACACACAAGTACGGCTGTACACACACAGGTACGGCTGTACACACACAAGTACGGCTGTACACACACAGGTAGGGCAGTACACACACAGGTAGGGGAGTAAACACACAGGTACGCCTATACACACAGGTAGGGCTGTACACACACAGGTACGGCTGTACACACACAGGTAGGGCTGTACACACACAGGTACGCTGTACACACACAGGTACGGCTGTACACACACAAGTACGGCTGTACACACACAGGTACGGCTGTACACACACAGGTACGGCTGTACACACACAGGTAGGGCAGTACACACACAGGTAGGGGAGTAAACACACAGGTACGCCTATACACACAGGTAGGGCTGTACACACACAGGTACGGCTGTACACACACAGGTAGGGCAGTACACACACAGGTACGGAGTACACACACAGGTACGGCTGTACACACAGGTACGGCTGTACACACACAGGTACGGCTGTACACACACAGGTACGCTGTACACACACAGGTACGGCTGTACACACACAAGTACGGCTGTACACACACAGGTACGGCTGTACACACACAGGTACGGCTGTACACACACAAGTACGGCTGTACACACACAGGTACGGCTGTACACACACAGGTACGGCTGTACACACACAGGTACGCTGTACACACACAGGTACGGCTGTACACACACAAGTACGGCTGTACACACACAGGTACGGCTGTACACACACAGGTACGGCTGTACACACACAGGTACGGCTGTACACACACAAGTACGGCTGTACACACACAGGTACGGCTGTACACACACAGGTACGGCTGTACACACACAGGTACGGCTGTACACACACAGGTACGGCTGTACACACACAGGTACGCTGTACACACACAGGTACGGCTGTACACACACAAGTACGGCTGTACACACACAGGTACGGCTGTACACACACAGGTACGGCTGTACACACACAGCTACGGCTGTACACACACAGGTAGGGCTGTACACACACAGGTACGGCTGTACACACACAGGTAGGGCTGTACACACACAGGTACGGCTGTACACACACAGGTACGGCTGTACACACACAGGTACGCTGTACACACACAGGTACGGCTGTACACACACAAGTACGGCTGTACACACACAGGTACGGCTGTACACACACAGGTACGGCTGTACACACAGGTACGGAGTACACACACAGGTACGGCTGTACACACACAGGTACGCCTGTACACACAGGTAGGGCTGTACACACACAGGTACGGCTGTACACACACAGGTAGGGCAGTACACACACAGGTACGGCTGTACACACACAGGTACGGCTGTACACACACAGGTACGGCTGTACACACACAGGTAGGGCTGTACACACACAGGTACGGCTGTACACACACAGGTACGGCTGTACACACACAGGTACGGCTGTACACACACAGGTAGGGCAGTACACACACAGGTACGGCTGTACACACACAGGTACGGCTGTACACACACAGGTACGGCTGCTGTACACACACAGGTACGGCTGTACACACACAGGTACGGCTGTACACACACAGGTAGGGCTGTGCACACACAGGTACGGCTGTACACACACAGGTAGGGCTGTACACACACAGGTACGGCTGTACACACACAGGTAGGGCAGTACACACACAGGTAGGGGAGTAAACACACAGGTACGGCTGTACACACACAGGTACGGCTGTACACACACAGGTACGGCTGTACACACACAGGTAGGGCAGTACACACACAGGTAGGGGAGTAAACACACAGGTACGGCTGTACAGGTACGGCTGTACACACAGGTACGGAGTACACACACAGGTACGGCTGTACACACACAGGTACGGCTGTACACACACAGGTAGGGCTGTACACACACAGGTACGGCTGTACACACACAGCTACGGCTGTACACACACAGCTACGGCTGTACACACACAGGTACGGCTGTACACACACAGGTACGGCTGTACACACACAGGTACGGCTGTACACACACAGCTACGGCTGTACACACACAGCTACGGCTGTACACACACAGGTACGGCTGTACACACACAGGTACGGCTGTACACACACAGGTAGGGCTGTGCACACACAGGTACGGCTGTACACACACAGGTACGGCTGTACACACACAGGTACGGCTGTACACACACAGCTACGGCTGTACACACAGCTACGGCTGTACACACACAGGTAGGGCTGTACACACACAGGTAGGGCTGTACACACACAGGTAGGGCTGTACACACACAGGTACGGCTGTACACACACAGCTACGGCTGTACACACACAGCTACGGCTGTACACACAGCTACGGCTGTACACACACAGGTAGGGCTGTACACACACAGGTACGGCTGTACACACACAGGTACGGCTGTACACACACAGGTACGGCTGTACACACACAGGTACGGCTGTACACACACAGGTACGGCTGTACACACACAGGTACGGCTGTACACACACAGGTACGGCTGTACACACACAGGTACGGCTGTACACACACAGGTAGTGTTAATGTTAATGACCTGAACAGGAACTAATTAACAACCAAGGAAACTGACTACGAACAATAGGCAGAACAGGAACAGAACACAGGGAAAACAGAACTAAAACTGATTATACTTGTTAACGCGTTCACATGAGCCGTAACTCAGTGTTGATCTTCATAATCCATCTCCCATTAATAATTCATACTTTTATTCAGTAAGGATGCATTGAACTGACCAAAAGTGACAGTAAAGATATTTATAATAGGCCTGCAGTGATGAATGAGCCAGTAATCGGTATCGGCCAATCAAAGCAATGATTTTCACTATCGGCCCATTGTTTAAATACAGCTGATGATCAGGGACGATTATATCCTGTCAATCAAAAGGGGACGGAAAAAGTGTCAGACATTAGTTTATGAACTACCTTATGTTGCATACAAACATTTCCATTTTTATTTGAGTGTAATAATTACATCTGCAAATAAACATCAGATGAATATAGTAGTTTGGGCTCTGTTGTTAATTTTAACCTATAATATTATATTAATACAATTATTTTAATATTATATGAATATTATATAAATCAATTGAGACGGTTCCCTGTATATCCCTGTATATATATACATCTGAATTATTCCAAACATTAGTACTAGTACTACTGCAAGTAAAGGTTGTTTGTAATGATGTAAGCGCTTAAACCTGCACAGAACTGACTTCATTCCCTTAACTGCTGCTGACGGTGTGTGTGTGTGTGTGTGTGTGTGTGTGTTTCAGGGGTCCGTTCAGTGTGGTGCGGAGATGCATCAACAGAGACACTGGACAGCAGTTTGCTGTGAAGATCGTAGATGTGGCGAGTTTCACCTCCAGCCCTGGACTCAGTACAGAGGGTAAGAACACACACACACACACACACACACACACACACACACACACACACACACACACACACACACACGTCTGGTTTACTATCTTTGTAAGGACTCTCCATAGACGTAATGGTTTTTATACTGTACAGACTGTATATTCTAGAAATAGAAAAACATGTACACACTCACACACACACACACACCCGAGTCCCGGTGTGTGTGAATGAGTTGCTCGGTGGCTCCATCTGCTGGCCGCTCATGTGATGTCAGTGACGTCACTCATATTGATGTTCACTGATGTTCGTAACGAGCGATTAATGAGCTTCCTCAGGATCATGAGTGTGTGTGTGTGTGTGTGTGTGTGTGTGTGATCTCCTCCTCTCTCTCTCTCCTCAGACCTGAAGCGGGAGGCCAGTATCTGTCACATGCTCAAACACCCGCACATCGTGGAGCTGCTGGAGACCTACAGCTCGGACGGGATGCTCTACATGGTCTTCGAGTTGTACGTCTGAGCTTTCTCACAAACACAACATGAGTCGTTATATATCATAGTGCTGATATTCAAGTAAATGGAAGTTTAATGAATAAACAGTTTACATATGAAATAATCATGTGCTGATGTTCCGATCCAATCTGACTTGTAATGCTGCCCGAATCATGCACTGTTCCTTCGTTGGCCAGAGGAGAACTGGCCCCCCGACTGAGTCTGGTTTCTCCCAAGGTTTTTTTCTCCATTCTGTCACCTGATGGAGTTTTGGTTCCTTGCCACTGTTGCCTTGGCTTTTGGCTTGCTTAGTTGGGGACATTTAACATTTAATATTCAATAATATTATTGATCTGCCTTACTTAAGGTGGACGTTGACGCAATTTCTTTTAGAAACAAACTTTGTTATATTGTTATATTGTTTTTGTTATATTGTTTTCATGTTATCACTGTGAAGCGCTTTGATACAATCTGTATTGTAAAAAGCGCTATATAAATAAAGGTGACTTGACTATTTTTGCACAAGTCCTTAATTTTTTTTGATTATTTTCTTTTTTAGTGTGGATACTGATGGACTTAAAAAATACTTTGAACCGTTAAACCGTTGAATTCTATATTATAATTTTTTTGTTGAATTGTATATTTTTTTTGACCAGTTGTGATGTTGAGCCTCTTGTGTCTAACAAACACAAAATCGCAAATCTGTAATGGAAACGCGCCGACAGTCACGTGTAAATACATTATGAAGGGTGTAGCCACACGTCACACTGATGTGTGTGTAGCGCTGATGTGTGTGTGACGCTGATGTGTGTGTGTGTGTGTGCAGCATGGATGGAGCCGATCTGTGTTTTGAGATTGTGAAGAGGGCCGATGCCGGGTTCGTCTACAGTGAGGCGGTGTCCAGGTGAGCATCACTTCCTGTTCACATCACACACTCCCATCTGCTTCCAGTGCTCAATCTGTGTGTGTGTGTGTGTGTTCGCAGTCACTACATGCGACAGATACTTGAAGCCCTGCGCTATTGTCATGACAACAACGTCATACACAGAGACGTCAAGGTAAGACTCGATCTCTGATTCACAATCACAGTTTATAGCAGCTGACCCCATCTTCATCATCTTCACCCATAAATCATCTTCATCATCTTCACCCATAAATCATGTTCATCTTCATCATCTTCACCCATAAAACATGTTCATCTTCATCATCTTCACCCATAAATGTTCATCTTCATCATCTTCACCCATAAATCATCTTCATCATCTTCACCCATAAATATGTTCATCTTCATCATCTTCACCCATAAAACATGTTCATCTTCATCATCTTCACCCATAAATCATGTTCATCTTCATCATCTTCACCCATAAAACATGTTCATCTTCATCATCTTCACCCATAAATGTTCATCTTCATCATCTTCACCCATAAATCATGTTCATCTTCATCATCTTCATCCATAAATATGTTCATCTTCATCATCTTCATCCATAAATATGTTCATCTTCATCATCTTCACCCATAACATGTTCATCTTCATCATCTTCACAAATAAATCATGTTCTCGTCCTCATTTTGTTCAAACACGTGTGACTTTTGTTTTGAGAACTTTATATATAAGGCTTTATATTTTTATTCAAGAATGCTTTGGAATATATATGTAAGATTGGTCTTGTTTTAAAGAAGACATTTGGCAGATTTTTGTAGAAGTGAAATAAATTAAGAAAGTGAAACAGAAAAAAAGTTATAATGAGTTTATGAAAATGTACAATGTAAAAATTTCATTATTCATATTTTATATAAAATATATATTTTCAAAACCTGTTGGACTCTAAAATTGCAAGAAAATCAAAGCCAAAACTCTGAACAAGTTGTGTTACAAATTTTAGGTTGATATATCTCCAAAAATGAGCTTTCAGTGAGAGTGTGTTCGGGCGCAGTACCGAACGCTTCCACCAGAGCACAGCCAGACTCCATTACTGCCCATATAAGGGTGCCGCCATTTCCATATGTAGTCTGAGTGACATGAACCACAATTTTCATACAATTTATGAAGTAGACATCCTATTCAGAAGTAGTATGGGAAGGTTGGCATATTTTGATATGAATTCAACCTCTAATAAACACGTAAAACACACGTATGTGCGTTATAGCTCGCGGCAACATTACAAATGGTGAATCTATTATTTTTTTCTTTATATTTAAACAGTTTCAGACCTTTTTTTCTCATAAAATTGAGTTGGTGTTATCTTTTGAACTCTTGGCATGAAAACAAACTGAGGTTTCTACCAATCTTTCATGATTTTTCATGTTCATCACTATTTCAAAATAAAGGTCTGAACACACCTTAGAAGTATGAAAATATTCTTGTTGCAAATTGATAGATTGCGGCTCCTCTGTAATTTATTTTGAAAATCAGTCACCAAATATGAAAACTAGAGATTTTAAGCTTTCAAATGATATATAGTTTGTCAGTATTAGTTTACGTTTAGTATAGGATATTACCGTTTTAAATATGTAATGGCTATGGTGACACTTAAGAGGTTACAAGTTTTGTGTCGTGTTAGTTAATCACTAATGATCTCTACAACAGAAGTGAATCAATCAAAACTAACTTTATCTGGACAATAACTTTATTCTAGATCTGCTGTAAAGCCTAAACACTGTTACTGTAATCTCCTGTTATCACTGTAAAGCTGCTGTGAACTCTATATGGTTATAAAGGAAGGTGACTTCATCAGTTCACAGACTCCTCAGAGTTCAGCAGTTCCTCCTGCACGGCTCAGTCAGTGCAGTAACTCAGTTCCTCCAGTGGGAGGCGCCGTTCCCTCGTGCCGTCTCTGCATCACTGCTGTTGCTGGAAGTAATGTCTTTGAGGTTTTGACAGCTCTGACTGTCTCCAGTTGTGTCTGATTTCTTGTCTGTGTCTGAACACTAACGCCAGATGTTTAGTGATCTCTTGCAGATGTGTATCCCGCCGTATATCCCACACATGCTCATAGAAGTGAAATTTCCCATGCTAACATTTCAAGCTAGTCCTGGTTTCCCATGAGTCTCTCCCATGCAGCGTTCACAGCCCAGTGTGTCAGAGAGACTCGTGGTCTCTGAGATGCTGCTGATCGGTGTGATTGCGACACTGATCTCCGTCGGCGCCGGTGTTGAGCGCAGGTTTGGAGCGGCGCAGCATGATCAATCCCAGACTCGCGCGGGACGAAGCTAGCACTGCGTCGGCGGAGACACAGACGTCCTCCTGAACTCAGTGGTGGAGCTGTTGGTGGTAGCGGGTTCGTGTTGCGCGTGGAATAGCTGCGCTAACGCCTGTAGCGTGGCTTTGCGCACCGAACCCGAGAGCATGAAGTACATGACGGGGTCCAGGCAGCTGTTGAGCGCGGAGAGCAGAAGCATGACCTCGTTGGTTCGGTCCATTAGCCTCTGCGTTTCGCAGCTAGCATCGCTAAGCTGGGACGATACGTAGACGGGTCTGAAGGCGTGATACGGCACGAAGCACACGGTGAAGAGTAGCGGAACCACGAACGACTTCTTAGCGGTGCGGTCGTAGCGGGTGGCGTTCGGTAGGTCTGGTTTGTCGCGCGCCGCTCGTAGCAGTCGGCGTGCGATCCGTGCATACGACACTAGCAGAACCCCGAACACTAGCCAGAACACGCCCACTAAGAACAGGTTAAAGTAGGCTTTCCCACGCGCATGTTTCCTTTGCTTGTACTGGAAACACTTCCCAGGCTCCTCGTTGCCCTCGGCCAGTGCGATCATGGGGATAACCATCACTAACGAGCAGGTCCACAGCAGAACGCAGGTCACATGACTCCAGCGGCTCCCTCGTAGCCAGCGCGGCCCGCAGCCTCTCTGAGCGCCTCTCACGCCGATGATCTTCAGGTAGCGGTCTAGGCTAATGAGACCGAGCAGGGTGATGCTAACGTACATGTTCATGTAGAACAGGTTTCCCACCGCCTTGCACATGCGCGGGCCCAGCGTCCACACGTTCCCTTGAGAGTGATACAGCACGCGGAAGGGAAGACACGATAGCAGCACCAGATCCGCTAGCGCTACGTTGATGAGGAAGACGCGCACGGAGTTCCTGCGCGAGTGCAGGAAGAGGAAGACCCACAAAGCTAGCAGGTTTCCCGCCAGGCCGAAGAGAAAGATGAGCGAGTATAGCACCGCTAGCGGCAGCCGTAAGCTGTCCTCGTCCAGCGCACACGAGCGGTTGTGTGTTAGCGAGGCGGCGGTGTGGTCGCTGAAGCGGCTCGGAGGCCAGGCGGTGGTGCTCATCGTGTTCGGCGGGATGCTTTTGTTCTCCTTGTTAGGTTGAAGTTCGCTGAGGTCGTTCCACTCGAACCCCCAGCTCTGCGGAGAGAAAGACATGTTTAAGTTACAGTACTGGGGGACAGCAGGGGAAACGCTGTCTCGACCAATGAGGAGGAAGGGCGAGAAAGCTCTGGCTCAAACCAGCGAGTGTAAGTTATGGTCAGGCACACGTCCCAGAAACACACTCTGATTGATGGTTGAGACGCCTCGTCTCTCGCAGCACAATCCAATTTTCCATTCCCCTTTTTCTGGATCATTTCAGCTGTGTTGAATGTTTTAATTTAAGGAAAGTTGCAGCTGTGTTCTTTTACCGTAGTGAAACTGAAGCATTAGCACGATTAGCATCTTTAATGAAAGTGTGTTCTGGGTCTATTGGAGGTTCATGGCTCATTCTGCAGCGGCACTGAGCTGGCCTCGTCTTCCTCTAACGCAGTCTTGCACATTCTATAGAACAATAATTACATATGGGTACACTTTATTTTAAGGTGTCATCGTTACAGAGTAATTATATATTTAAGGACAGAGTAATAATAAGCAACTACATGTACTTACTGTAGGGTTAGGGTAGGATTAGCGTTCGGTTGAGGGTCAGTTGCATGTAATTATGCATAATTTACTGTGATTACTATGGTAAGTACATGTAACATATGTAACAAGGACACTGTATAATAAAGTGTTGCCATATATATATCAGTCCCTCCGGGATTCTGCGATCTGGGGCAGTTGTTATTTTTATGGCCAAAAATGTAAATCAATGAGATCTTTATAGCAGACTACTTGCTTATAAACATCATTTGTCACTCTATATCTCTCAGTAATATGTCTCAGTAAGATATGTTTAAATGCGTGGTCTTATGATGAGGCTCTATAATGTTTATTGTGTGGGTTAAAACACGATGCGGTGCTGTATGACCGAGATGAGGAAATACACATTCCTCAAAAGCCTGTTGGATCATATTTCACACAAATGAAACATTGATTGACAGCTGTAAAATATGGAGACGTGCTATAGGGTGAGCAGCCCCCCCCCCATCACACAATCCTGTGGGAAACACTGCAGTGTAATGCTTTAGTGCTTTTTTTGTTGTTTTATTTGGTGATAAATTTGAAATAAAATGTCGCAATTATATTTTTAAGTTATTATCAATGCTCTTAGAAATTAGAGAGACCAATGGTTCTTCGAGGTCAGAAAAGTTATTATCATTAAAGATTTTGAGAAAAGCCGCAGCAAAATCTGTCATTTTAGGCTGCAAAAATCTGAAGAGTCCCCTGGAGTCCTGGAGGCACTGATAGATATTTGCATAATGAAAATAAATTCACACTTGCTTCTTTCTATCTCTGCACTTCCGCTCGATCGGTGTTAATTCTGGTGTTTATGAAAGCGTGTTATCCCCGTGAATCGCTCCTGCTTGTGTTATTATAATTTTACGCCGCTCTGAATAAAGCCGTCTGCTAAATCAACACGTGTAAAATGGAATAATTGTTCTCATTTTACTTTCATATTTTGTTTTAGTATATGGTTAGGATCTTAGGATCTGAGCTGTAAATAGTCAAATTAAAATGTTTATTTCACAAAGTTGGATTACTCATGAATCAGTTAACAGAAGCCGCTGACATTTCAGGAATGGTTTCATGACGAGTGGACACTTCTCCACACGAGTGGAGATCTCAGCTTTATTATCAGCGCTTTACTGAGATAACAGGACAATAATGCAACACAGTTTATTTCCAGAAGAGAATAGCGTCAGTCCAGCTTGTTGTTAATTTTCGTTTAAATTTTTTTATTAATTTAGTTCATTTATATATATATATAGCGGCTCTGGAGAAACCGTGATGTCATCGTCCAGCTCAGATCAGCTCTCATATAATGCTGTCAATGCAGGAGATCAATAATATTGCTGAATATTAAATTAAATGTTAAATTTAATGAGGACCATGTGTGCTTATTGCATACTAAAATGGTCATTTCATACATGTAGCATATTTTTTGTTGTTAAAATATTTCTATAGAAAGCTTTTTTTTTTTATATGAAACTGCCCATCTTAGCGGAGCGACCCTCATACATCTCTCCTGACCGTAGTGTGAAGTGTATTAATGTACGCACGTATGTTTCTCTGTCTGTTTTACTAATGGCATCTGTTGAATAACACGCGCACACACACACAGTTTAGATCTCAGACACACACTGATGTTTTAGTGAATTGTACTCACAGTTTAGCATGTTAGCCCTGTTGCACAGACGCCGCACGTTCAGCCAGACGGAGCGCAGGGTTTCAGTCTCAGACCAGATCCGCTTTCATTCCTCCCAGAGTCTGCTCTCTCTCTCTCGCTCTCTCTCTCTCTCACACACACACACACACTCTCTCTCTCTCTGCCGCTTCCCCTTCCAGCGCTCAGAACATCTGCAGTCGCTGCGTCCTCTCTCTCTCGCTTTCTCTCTCTCTCTCTCACACACACACACACACACACACACACTCTCTCTCTCTGCCGCTTCCCCTTCCAGCACTCAGAACATCTGCAGTCGCTGCGTCCTCTCTCTCTCTCACACACACACACACACACACACACTCTCTCTCTCTGCCGCTTCCCCTTCCAGCGCT